AATCCCTAAGAAAGGCAATGCCAAAGAATGCTCAAACTACTGCACAATTGCACTCATCTCACACGCTAGTAAAGTAATGCTCAAAATTCTCCAAGCCAGGCTTCAACAGTATGTGAACCGTGAACAGATGTTCAAGCTGGATTTAGAAAAGGCAGAGATCAAATTGCCAACATCCTTTGGATCATCGGAAAAGCAAGAGAGTTCCAGAAAAACAACTATTTCTGCTTTACTTACTATGCCAAAGCCTTTGACTGTGTGGATCACAACAAACTGTGGAAAATTCTGAAAGAGATGGGAATACCAGACCACCTGACCTGCCTCTTGAGAAATCTGTATGCTGGTCAAGAAGCAACAGTTAGAACTGGGCATGGAACAACAGATTGGTTCCAAACAGGAAAAGGAGTCCGTCAAGGCTGTATATTGTCACCCTGCTTATTTAACTTATATGCAGAGTACATCATGAGAAATGCTGGGTTGGAAGAAGCACAACAAGCTTGAATCAAGATTGCTGGGAGAAATAGCAATAAGCTCAGATATGCAGATGACACCACCCTTATGGCAGAAAGTGAAGAACTAAAGAGCCTCTTGATGAAAGTGAAAGAGGAGAGTGAAAAAGTTGGCTTAAAACTCAACATTCAGAAAACTAAGATCATGGCATCTGGTCCCATCCCTTAATGGCAAATAGATGGGGAAACAGTGGAAACAGTGACAAACTTTATTTTTGGGGGCTCCAAAATCACTGCAGATGGTGACTGCAGCCATGAAATTAAAAGATGCTGCTCCTTGGAAGAAAAGTTATGACCAACCTAGACAGCATATTAAAAAGCAGAGACATTACTTTGCCAACAAAGGTCCGTCTAGTCAAAGTTATGGTTTTTCCAGTAGTCATGTATGGATGTGAGAGTTGGACTATAAAGAAAGCTAAGCACCGAAGAATTGATGCTTTTGAACTGTGATGTTGTAGAAGACCCTCGAGAGTCCCTTGGACTGACTGCAAGGAGGTCCAACCAGTCCATCCTAAAGGAAATCAGTCCTGAATGTTCACTGGAAGGACTGATGTTGAAGCTGAAACTCCAATACTTTGGCCACCTGATATAAAGAACAGACTCATTTGAAAAGACTGATGCTGGGAAAGACTGAAGGCAGGAGGAGAAGGGGACAACAGAGGATGAGATGGTTGGATGCCATCACTGACTCAATGGACATGAGTTTGACTAAATCTGGAAGTTGGCGATCGACAGGGAGGCCTGCGTGCTGCAGTCTATGGGGTTGCAGAGAGTCACACACAACTGAGGGACTGAATTGAACTGAAGTTTTAAATATCCTTCAAAGTGCTATATTCCAAACTTCACTAGTTTAGTTTGATGATTTACCATACACACATACACACACACACACACACATCTATAGTATTAACAGTGAAGAGGGAGAACTAAGAAAGGAGAATATTTCTATGGCAAATTACATGCAGTATTTTCAGTTTAGTTCAATGAGTCTATGGAATCAATTTGACTGTTCTCCTTTCCTTTTGTTTTTTAAATTAATTTATTTAATTGTCTCCTTTCCTTTTCTGAAATAAACTGCTAAGCTATTTATTATTATATAAAATAAGAGACTTAGGTCTACTAAAAATTCATTCGCCTGGTTTAAGTTAATTTTCAGTCTAGGCTTGGAGATGTTATTTATTAATTATCACCTGAATCCTTGTATAGCATTTCCTACTTCAAAATGTAGGAAAACAAACCATGTCAACCTTAACGGGAGAATTTGATTAAAAGATAAAAGTTATTACAAAGATCATAAAGACAGCCACTGACATCTGGTAATAAAGAATTATTATACTGCTAGGTCTAACTGTTTATACTGTTTAATATTTTATCTGGAAAACAAGTTGATGGATAATCCCTACAGACAGTGCTAGGCGGGAAATGATGATATCAGGACATTCCAACAAGTGTCCTGCAAATAGCTTTTAAAATATGATACATGCAAAACCAAACCAAACTACCACCCATTCCAGTAGGCCTTGAATATCTCAGAATAACTTTATGCAAATCATCTTTAGGAGGAATCACTGGAATTATTATTATTTTTTAGGGGCTGTGCTACAGGAGACAGTCAAGGGAAGGGACTATTGATTTTGAAAAATATAAGGAATAAGAAATTCTTACTTGAGTATATTGGTCTAGCTTAAAAACACTTTTATGGGTACTTACTGTAATTTTATTTTTTGACCACACTTAATGGGATCTTAGTTTCCTGACCAGGGATCAAATCTGTGCCCCCTGCACTGGAAGTACAGTCTTAACCACTGGATCCCCAGGGAAATCTCATATTGCTATTTATTACAGATAACTAATGTAACTTCTTAGAAACTCCAAAGGCTGGGGAAACATAAGAATCTGGGCTACACAAATCATTCGCTAATTCCTATTGGCCAGATCTTTATTTGAACACCATGTGTTCATTTATTCACCAGATATTTATCAAGAACCTGCTATGTGTCAATCAAGATGCCAGGTGCTGTGGACACAACAGCGGACAAAAATAAGCATGGCCTCTGCCATTAAGAAGCTTACAGGTTAGTTGCAAAAGGACAGTAATCATACACCCTTCAAACATGAGTGTAAAAATGCAACTGTCAGTGCATGCACTACATACTGCTGAAAAAAGAGGTCCTTAGGGAAAAGGGTAATTGTGACCCAGTCAAGGAAGATGCATTTGTGAACATAGTAGCTGTAATCTAAAGGATATTATCTAGGTGGGTAGTTCTCAGTGGGACTGGTGGTGACAGTGGCAGTTTACTACTTGTCAGGGAACATGTGACAATGTTTGGGGATAGTTTTGATTGTCACAACTGGGAGATACTAGAGGCATCTAGTGAGTAGAGGACAAGGATGCAGCTAAACATCTTACAACGCACAGGGCAGTCCCTAGCAACAAAGAACTATCTGGCCTAACACGTCAATAGTGTCAAGGTTGAGAAAGCCTGAACAGGGCAAAGGGAAAAACACGAGCAAAGACCAGTCATGGGAGACTCAAGCAGAGAAAACTACAGGGGACAGATCATTCAGGGCTACAGAGACCATGGTAAGGATTTAGCTTTACCGTAAGAATGAAGGGGGAAAACAACAAGATCCTACTGCCTAGCACAGAGGAACCATATGAATATCCTGTGATAAACCATGATGGAAAATATTAAAAAAGAATGTTTATATATGTGTATAACTGAGTCACTCTTCTGTACAGAAGAGATCAGCACAACAATGTAAATCAACTATACTTCAATTAAACATTTTTTTGAAAAAAATGAAGGGGAAAACAAATGAAGGCTTTCAAGAAAAGGAAGAACCAGGGAGTGAAGACAGTGGTGATGACAAGGTCAGACGTGATTTCTAAAAGGTTACTAACTGCAGTATGACAGATAGATTGGAAGGAAATGAAACTGGCTATGCGTGTTTGAGACAGGTAGCTAACTAATGTAACTTCTTAGAAACTCTAAAGGGTGGGGAAACAGAAGGTACTAGTGGTGAGGATGTAGAAGTAGCTGGAAAACTTCCTTCTCTACATGTTCAGTATGAAAAGAGGAGAAAGAAAGACTGTCCTGCGCTGCATGCACAGTCGTTCCTACAACGTGTGAGTTTGTGTGGTAGTCCTGTATGTTCTTCAGAATTCTCTCAAGGTGGCACAATAATCTCTAGGAAAGGATGAAATGTCATCTTCATATTTCAAAAAAGGAACAAGAATATTCCTTCCTTCTTTTTGAATGTGACATAATGTGATATAAAAACCACTTTATAAGTAAGAATTCAGGCAACAAAAAACTGGAGTAAATAAAATTTAATTTACAAAACATAATCTATATTTCTAATCAGAAGTATAGGAAGTAATAAAATCAATGGTTGACTCTACTGAGTATATTCTCAAGAATATGTTTTTCCTCAATTGCTATATTAATACCTAAGTAGAAAATTTTAAGAACTGTTTTATCATAGAACATACCATACACAGAAAAGAGTAAATAATATACAATGAATGGTCCAAAGAAAAATAAAACTATTATTCATGAACTCACTATCAAGTGGCAATTTTTCAATAGCAAAATTTCTCATAAAGTTTTTTTTTTTTAATAAAAGGTTTCAGGATAAAGATTTGTATTAAACTACATAAAGAGCACTTCAATTTGACACTTTTTAAACACAATTTAACACTTACCCACTAACCCACCAGCATAGGACATTTATGCTATTAAATGAAAAGAAAACTCAGAAACACTGAATTAAAAAAAAAATCATATATTGAAGAAAAAGGACTCATTTACTATCTGGCAGGATTCACATTCAAGTTGACATTAATTTGATTAACCAAACAGTCCTTTCCATACCGTTTTATCAAAGTAAATTCCAAAAATTTGTGACACTGTCATTTAAAGCATATGTTAAAACTGTTGTTACTCATTTAGACATACAAATAAAAGCTTCGGATAGCCTTTTAAAACAGCCTAATTTTTCTCTAATGAAGTAATAGATTCATAACACATATTTTGATATCTTATCAAGCCTTACTTAATGAAATATTAATATTTTATGTAAGATTATATACAAATGAAATACAACTGTGTATCTGGCATCCAATTTTGGCTGAAAGTCATAGCATTGTCCCGAAGCACCGTTAAAGTCTTAACGATATACACATGTCTTGTACTAAACAGAATTTCATATTTCTTTGGAGAGGCAAGTCTCAAACTGCAAAGCTTCTTTTAAATCAAGAATTATATGACTTGATACATGTTTGGCTCAGAATTAAACAAGGATATTCTGGGCTTCATCATTTCCTACTCTAAGAGGTTTATCTTCAATTTAACTAATAATGGGGCAAAAGATTTTTCCTACTCAAAAAATAAAGAGCTACCACAAAAATTCTATACCAATAATTCTTTTTTATACCTCTCCTCTCATTCAAACCATGATGATATTATTAGTCCATAAAGAATTACTCACCCAATGAAAGCCACCATCTGCTCCACTATGTGTTTGCTGAATGTTACGATAACGAAGATTTTCTGTAAAGAAAATGCCAGTTAAAATAAATATATCTCTTATCATCAAAAAAACCAATATAAACTCACAATTCTGGTAACAGTCTAAAAAGGTAACCATGCTGCTGCTAACTGCAATTTAAAAAGCTCTTAAATGTGACCTACTTTGTATTTTAAAGATGTTTTTCCTTAAGCACAGTTCTCATCTTGCCAGGATACGTGACCATGTCTGAGGGAAAAATATGAGTCATGAAACCCAAGGCTGGGTGCATGATCCACATGTTCTATGTGTTTTAGAATGGTGTATACAACTGAAGTCATGGGTTCCCATATGGCCTCCATCACTGAAATTAAAGTTGATCAGCCTGACGACAGGTGTCTGGGCTAAATCTAATCCAGAGGATCTTCCATATCCTTTATGGAAAGTTTTTACAAAAGAACTTGAATAGCCAAAGCAATCTTGAGAAAGAATACAAAGCTAGAGAAATCAAGCTCCCTGACTTCAGACTACACTGCAAAGAAACAGTAATCAAGACGGTATGGTACTGCGACAAAAACAAAAATACAGATCAGTGGAAGAGGACAGAAAGACCAGAGATTAACCTCACACACCAAGGTCACCTTGTCCTTAAGAAAGAAGCAAGAATATACAATGGAGAACAAAGTTTCTTTAATAAACGGTGCTGAGAAGACTGGACAGCTACAGGTAAAAGGATGAAATTAGAACACTTCCTAACACCATACAAAAAATAAACTAAAAGTGGATTAAAGATCTAAATGTAAGGCCAGATACTAAAACTCTTAGAGGAAAACAGGCAGAACACTCTGACATAAATGGCAGCAAGGTCCTTCTTGACCTCCTAGGGTAATGAAAACAAAATTAAACAAATGGGACCTAATTAAACTTAAAAAGCTCTTGCACAGCAAAGGAAACCATAAACAAGATGAAAAGACAACTCTCAGAATGGGAGAAAATATTTGCAAAGGAAGCAACTGACAAAGGATTAATCTCCAAGATATACAAGCTCATGCAGCCCAATATCAAAAACACAAACAACCCAATTAAAAAAATGGGCGGGAGACCTAAACAAACATTTCTCCAAAGAAGACATACAGATGATCAACAAATACCTGAAAAGACGCTCAACACTGCTCATTATTAGAGAAATGCAAATCGAACTACAATGAGGTATCACTTCACACTTGTCAGAATGGCCACCTTCAAAAAAAATCTACAAACAATAAATGCTGGAGAAGATGTAGAGAAAAGGGAACCCTCTTGCACTATTGGTGGAAAAGTAAATTAATACAATCACTATGGAAAACAGTATAGAGGTTTCTTAAAAAACTAAAAATAAAACTACCAAATGACCCAGTAATCCCACTATAGGGCATATAAACTGAGAAAACCATAATTCAAAGAGATATATGTACCCCAATGCTCACTGCAGCACTATTTAGAATAGCCAGGACATGGAAGCAACCTGGATAAAGAGGATGTGGTACATTTATACAATGGATTATTACTCAGCCAACAAATATAGTATACTAATGCACATCTACGGTATCTAGAAAAATGGTGCCAACCCCATGGACCACAGCATCCCAGGCCTCCCTGTCCATCACCAACTCCCGGAGTCCACCCAAACCCATGTTTACTGTGTCGGTGATGCCATCCAACCACCTCATCCTCTGTCGTCCCCTTCTCCTCCTGCCCTCAGTCTTTCCCAGCATCAGGGTCTTTTCAAATGAATCCGCTCTCCATCAGATTCTGGGTAATTTTCTGTTTGGTGTTACTGAGGCATTCTTCATTGATTAAGATACTGATACCTTACTTAACTCATTAAGAAAGATGCCTTTAGGCTTACAGGTAGCAAATATTTTCAACTCAGCAAATATTACAAAAAGTAACTACTATGGATAGTGTGAGCATTAACAAGACTTTCATGAAACACAAAGATGGGAAGAATACTTCTTTAATATGCTGAAGAAATTTACAAATTTTCCGATATATAGTAGAAAGATGATTAAGTACAAAAAATAATACGTATAAGGATAAACTATAAAGGCCTCAGCAGTAAAAACAATGTATTACAGAAGTTCACAGAAAGAAAGAAAAGGTCACATAAGTACAACTAATTTGAGATTCTAGAAAATGATATTAAAACTTAGCTTTAAAGGACTTATAATAATTCTCTGAATTGTTGTTGTTGAGGTTTAGTCGCTAAGTGATGTCTGACTCTTCTGCTACCCCATGAATCCCCATGGGATTCCCCAGGTGGGACTACTAGAGTAGGTTGCCATTTCCTTCTCCAGGGGGTCTTCCTGAGCCAGAGGTCAAACCCGCATCTCCTGCATTGGCAGGTGGGTTCTCTACCACTGAGTCACCAGGGAAGTCCAATTCTCTGAATAAAAATGAGTAATTCTAAATTCTTCTAACTCCTAAAAACTAACTCCATTGCTTTGTTACTGTGTATTAAATAATAACTATAGCCTATATAATTAAATGGGAGGGAAGTGAAATAAAAATAAATAACATCATGTTAGCCATCCACTGAGCATCTCAGGAAAGTGGTTAATTCAGACTAAAGCTTATTATTTCAGGTAGAAGATTAATCAGGCAATGATATTTTCTTTTTTTTTTTTTTTTTGGCAATGATATTTTCTTAATCAATGTCTTAGGGTTAACAAAGACACTGACAGCTGCACAGCTGGGTATGTGAGAAAGAAATAAGACCAGAAAAATAAGCTCATAGTCCTTTTTGGTATTTGTTTAGGCATCTATTGGGCTTCCCTGCTGGCTCAGGTGGTAAAGAATCCTCCTGCAATGTAGGAGACCTGGGTTTGATCCCTGGGTTAGGAAGATCCCTTGAGAAGAGAACAGCTACCCACTCCAGTATTCTGGCCTGGAGAATTCCATGGAATGTATAGTCCAGGGGTCACAAAAAGTCAGACACAACTGAGCAACTTTCACTTCACTTAGGTATCTATTAATGTGAAAAAGATATTTCTTATCTTATGAAAAAAGTAAGCATGTATAGATATCCAACAGTTACAAGATGGACGGTGATTTATAAACAATCCTATACAAATGGTGTATGAAGATTATGAAGCTAATTAGAGAATTACTGTAGATCATTTAGTGAGAAAAGCATTAATATATGGGACTCTTCTAAGTATCCATACTAAAAGCCAGTTACTTAGAGCTATAGATCTTTTACTAAAAAACAGAGCTAATGATTTGCTCTCAGTGATTACACCACGTGTTTTCCCTACCATCATTTCCTAACATTCAAAATAAGCCAATGCCAGGATAATTACACAATTTCATTTCTTGAAAACAAAACAAAGACTTTCTTTTTATATATAACAGTCTGAAAATTCACTGTGCTGGGCTAGACACTTAAGAACATATGTCTCAGAATCACATTCATGCTTGAGGTCTGAATGGGGATTCTACCAAATAAAAAAAAAGGCACAGATCCCCAAAGAGCCCACTCAACCATAGGTACAAAGAAAATAAGGATAGAGTATAAAAGCAAAAAAAAGATATGAGTGTAGGGAACTAATGGCGCCAACAGAACAAAGAAGAAACTATACATCTGCAAAAGAAGATTCCTCCAGATTTTGGAAAGAAGAATCATAGGCTGAATCATATATTAAATATTTACTGAGTGCTAACTACATACCAGATGCTATTCGAGGCACTAGAATACCTTGGAGAGCCAAGAAACAAAAAACTGTCCTCACAGAGCTTATATTTCAGTATGTGTGCGTGTGGTGGTAGGGAGAAAGTTGAGAGGCAATAAATAATACACATGCTAAGTAAATTATATGGTACATGAAATATTATATGAGCATGTTGATTTCTTCATCATTTAGGAGAACAGAAATATTTCTAAGGTATTGTATACAGGTATAAGAATTGAACGTGTCCAGTAGAAAGAGAAATCCTTAATTAACATTATCAGGTGGGTTGATTTCTTTTAGGGGATGTTTAACAGATAACAAGATATAAATAAAATTAACAATATATATCAAGGGAAGTTGTCTAGTTTAAACTGAGGAAAAAAGAGAAGAGGACCAGAAGAGTTTACTATCAGAATTACAGAAAAGTCTGTGTGTAGTGTGTCTGCCCTATTGTTTTAGAAATACTTATAATGTTTATATTACTCACTAATACTGCTTACCCAAGGAATGAGAAAAGTTTGTGGCCCTGAGCTACATCTGGATGCACATCAAGTGACATGCCTTTACAAAGTATGTCTCTCTGATACAACGGAATACAACAAACGTATCCCGTGGTCTCAGTTTAGTGAAGGAACTCAGATTTTTTTCCTTTCAGAAACACAGATGGGATTTTAGCATTCTTTCTTTGCTTCCTCATAGATACAGGGAATGAATGAGCTTTGACTTTAGAGTTTGGTTTGAATTCGAAGCCCTCCTATCTATGAAATGTGGATAATAACCACATCACAGGATTGTTCTGAGATAGCCAATGCAAACTGCTTGGCATAGGTCCTGACAAAATAACAGGCCTTAAACATTTCAGTTTTTGTGATCATATAAATAAATTACAGTTAAGGCAAAGCAAAAGAATGGAAAGAACAATGAAGTTGAAGCCGAAAGACTCAGGTTCAATTCCAGCGGTTACTCTTTTAGGCAACCATTACCTACTTCCTTCTCTAAGTTTGATAATTACAAAATGGGAGTAGTAATTTCTCTATCCCAGAATTGTAAGAATTAAATCAGATGGCATACATTAAGTACTTTAAAGTGTGAAGCACTATATTAAAAAATTAAGCATTATTATCATAACTTGAAAAAAACTGAGAATGTTAAACACTCTGTAACTATAGGGTACTTTTAGCATAATATATTTTACTGTATTTTATAGAAAGTTAGTATAATTCATAAAGCAGAATATATAAAGTTTATGGGTTCCTAGAGAAGATGCTATTATAAAGGGAATGAAAAGAATCTGTTATCATTCCTTAAGTATTAACACTCTCAAAGGACTTAAAAAAGCTAAATGATTTTATTATTAGAAAAATCCTATTATAGTATTTTAAATCTTTACCAAATAACTAGCATTCCAGTATTTAAAAACCCATCGTCTTGAACAACACACTTACTTAAGTAGGAGAAACTACATTCCTTGAAGGAGGAAAAATAAAATCTTGAAATTTTAAGTGATTATCATGGCAGGATTAGAAGACAAGCTCAATAAGCTCACCCTAAACACCAAAATCTAGTATTAGAAAATGGGCAGGCAGAAGCAGCTCAAGCTTTCCTTTTTTTAAAAGAAAAAAAAAAAATAATACTTTATTTGTCTATTTGGCTGCCTCAGGTCTTAGCTGTGGCAGATGGCATCTTCATCATGGTGCACAAACTCTCTAGTTGCAGGTGTGTGGGCTTACTTGCTCCCCGACCAGGGATTGAACCTGCTCCCCCTGCATGGCCAGGTGGATTCTTAACCACTGGACCACTAGTGAAGTCCCTCAAGTCTTCCTTTTCATTCTTCTCTTCTAAGAACTGGAGGTAGAGAGGTGGTGAGTTGAAACTTGGGGGATAGAAGTCCTTTCAATTATTATGGAATCAGGCCAGAGTTGAAGACATTACTCACTGTTCTTGCCTTTCCCCTGGTGAATGCTTCCTTGCAAGCCTCATTAATTAAGACATTTTTTTCAATGTTAACTCTATTTTATTTCAGTAGGATTTGCCTTTTATACTACTCCTATCAATTCATATCAAAGTCTCAGAAGCACATATTCATTTCCTCTCATTTAAGTCCTTGGTCTCTTTTCTCTGCTCTTGCACACACACACCCACACCGCCCCCACCCCACACACCCACACCCTTATCCTAAAGATTACGTTAAGAGTGGCTTTGAGACTAGCAGATTCTCACTTCTCTAACCAAAACCCACATCTCTTTGCCTCCTCAGGGCCCACTTTCTTCTCCATTCTCCACACTAACACCTGGCTGGTATTTTGTAAAGGATATTAGTGCCTTGAGAGGAAGTGTTATATATAGAATATGTGAAAGAAAAGTAGAATTAATGAAAGAGAATACTTCCTCAGCTCAAGAACAGTTTTTGTTTGGTAAAAGTCTTAAAAGTTTCAGAAGGCAAAAGTGAAATAAAGAGAAAGGAAGGGACAGAGGAAGAAAGAAGGAAAGGAAACAAGGAGGAACAGGGGGCGTAATTTTCCAACAGAAGAAGGGAAAAACCGCCCTCAGTCCAGTAATCAGTGACGTTCTGGGTCTGAATAGCGACCCACCAAGAAGCAGAACTCAAAATCCGAACAGTTTGTCTTGGCAAGAGCAAGGGGAATATGTTTTCAGTGCCTTTTAATGGGCTCATCATCACTGAGCAGGGAGTCGAAGGGTATAATTACCTGGATATGCATCTTAATTATTGCTTTTCCAATCAGGGTTGCACCAAAGAAAGTCCAAAAAGGTACAAGAAAGTGTCCACATGTTATTCCAGCCAGATCAAACAAAGGATTTGGAATCTATTCAAAAGAGAAAAAATAAAATGAAACGTCCATATATAATCCAAAAAGCAGTTTAATTTTACATCCTATAGGTGTGTGGAATTATGCATTAATCCTTGTCCACCACTTCAAAGAGAGGTATGGATTCCCTGATCAGTGCTAGACTGTCTGGAATTTAATCCCGTTCAGTAGATACTTGACCACTGGACAGCAGTGAAGTATAAATAAAGAAAAAGCCTCAAGATTATTTCTGTAGTTATTAGGGTTCTAGAATCTTTGGCTTGAAATAAGATTATCTGGAAAGTGCTCACATCTATAGAAAACATTCTTGTAAATTCACAAATACATTTACAGGTGGATGTGCTTTTCATTTTTCAACATAAAAAATTAACTTTTTGTATTTTACTTTATGACAGCCCAAGGCCACAGGGCCATGTGATTTATTCTAGGGAAAAATCAAGTGTGGAAACACAAGAGCACAGATACAGATGTTGTGAATACTCAGTCCCAGACAAAGAAGTGATTCACAACAAATACCTTTCCTGAACATTCCCACATTTCAAGAATGCTAAAAGACAATTTCATGCAAAAATGCAAAGAAACCACAAGCTGTTTTTGAGCACTTCATCCATTCTTCTCCCAAAGAAGTACTCTTGTCCTTGTGTCTATGTTGGTGGAACCACTTATAAGCTAATTAATTTATATAATTTCAAGTCTGTACTTTCAAAGAAAAGCCCAGTTGCTTAAAAGATATTTGTTAAGTATGTTCTTTTAAAAACAATGCCATAACTAAATCAGAATTCAAATATTCTTTTGTTAAAAAATACTCAAATTCAATAATACAATTTTTCTTATCCAAATTTAAATGCTTTCTGTAATTTCATGTCTTACAACCATTGAATAACTGTGTCACTTCCACATCCTTATAACTGTCATTTCTTTTATTTCCTCATATGACTCTCATAACTCTATGAATTAAAATTTTAATAGATCCCCTTTATTATCAGGCTCTACCTCATACTGAAATGGAAATTAAAGTGTACAAGATATGCAAATCAGAGTGGATAAAAATTAGAAGTTGTATGTTGGATACTCTCAGAAGAGAATAATCAATGTTGTTACAAAGGCATGTTATTTACTTTTTTTCAATTGTTAACCTAATACACAGAAAGGAAGATTAGAATAAAAAGAACTATTATGTAGCTTTGAGATTTTCCCTCACCTAGCTTTGTTTATCTTAGTTTAAATGTTAACAACAAAATTACTAATTAATAAACTTCTCCTTACCTTACCCTTTACTTACCTTACCTTAAATCAAGTATATATACTTTTAATACATATTAATTTCCTAGTAAAAAGCTCCTAGAGGGTCAAACTGATCTATTAATTTATGTTAAAAATTGACTATTCCTAGTCAAAAATAAAGAAGATTGGCTAGCATAGAAAGTTGAATTTTAGCAGGGAAGACACAGGTATAGATGAATGCCAAAGAATAAATATTTTTTGCTTCAATAAATTGAAGGTACTTGAATGATGAAAGCTAACTCTTACTGAATTGTTACGTGCTTTTCTAGGATTTTTACATCAACTCAATCTCCAAAACAATGTTATATGATATGACATCCATTTTATAGATAAGAAAAGTGAGACAGACAGGTCAAGCAACGTGTTCAGTATCAGTGGCGGCACAGCAGGCTCTCAACCCAAGCAACACGACTCCCGCACTACTCTCTCAGCTTCTAAACTAAGGACATCATCACCATTTAGGCCTCTCAGTTTAATCCTATACTGCTGGGCTTCCACAATACCTTTCACTTAGCACCGTCTCCCTCACTAGATTTCAGGATCCTCTAGAAAAGGAAATACAGCTTTCACTTCTTTGTCCAAGCACTCAGGGGTTGATACAAAGCTGATGAATAACAGTAAAAAATGGATGGGCACTGTGACAGGTCATGTATTATCTTAAATCCTCACGGGGCTGCAAACAGTCGGACACGACTGAGCGATTGAACTGACAAAATCCTCATATAAGTAATGAGTGTCTCGATGCCCTGTTTTAAAAATTAGAAATGTGAAAGTCACTTAGTCACTTAGTCGCTGACTCTTCGCGACCCCATGGACTATACAGCCCATGGAATTCTTCAGGTCACAACACGAGTGAGTAGCCTTTCCCTTCTCTAGGGGATATTCCCAACTCAGGGGAAGATCCGCTGGGATTGAGCCCAGGTCTCCCACATCGCAGGTGGATTCTTTATCAGCTGAGCCGCAAGGGAAGCCCAAGAATACTGGAGTGGGTAGCCTCTCCCTTCTCCAGCAGATCTTCCCAACCCAGGAATCGAACTGGGGTCTCCTGCATTGCAGGTGGATTCTTTACCAACTAAGCTATCAGGGAAGTCCCAAAATTAGAAAACTAGGGCTCAAAGAGAGTAAACTGACTGAAATTACATAGCTAAGAGGAAAATCTGGTTTAGGAACCTAAGCAAGCCTGACTCCAAAACCAGTTCTCATCTCACTACATCACACTACAACATACCTATACATTGCTCAGATATTTGTCAATGTTATGATAAAGAGCTTCTCCAATAAAAAGAGAAGTTAGATGATGAAAATTTCAAGTACTGCCAGGATTAAAAGGTAGTAACAGAGGCACATGGATATTTTAGAACATCTCTAGAATGTTGATTGGTTGTTGCTGTTCTTCAGTTGCTATCATGCCTGACACTTTGCGACCCCACAGATGTAGTGTGCCAAGCTCCTTTGTGTTGTCCTCCACTATCTCCTGGAGTTTGCTCAAATTCACGTCCATTGAGTGAGTGATGCTATCTAACCATCTAATCCTCTGCCGCTCCCTTCTCCTGTTGCCTTCAAGCTTTCCCAGCATCAGGGTCTTTTCCAGTGACTTGGCTCTTCGCATCAGGTGGCCAAAGTATTGGAGTTTCAGCAACAGTCCTTCTGATGAATATTCAGGGTTGATTTCCTTTAAATTTTGGCACCAAATGTCTTCCCTTTATGGGTATTTACTTTGCTAGGGTGGGAAAGAGGGTACTCAGATATATTCATATTCTAATATATAATGGATAAGGAAACTGTACCAGCAGATAATAATCTTCTGAATTTACTGATAATTGCAACTTTCATCATATTAACTAGATGTATCTAGTTATTCTGGCCAAATCTACCACTGAACTATCAAGAATTTTGTACAAACCACCAAAGAAAACTTAGATCAAAATGCTTCATTTCAAGTATAACTGTTTCTATTAAATTAGAAAAGGACCAGGATAAACATCAACTCACCAAGGGTTGTCAATTTCACAAATTTGCAATTTGAGACATTAAGTTTTTTTTTTTTTAAAGTTTCCTGTGTGAGACACAAATAGTTTGACACAAACAGTTTCTTAGTTCACTGTAGCCATAGATGCCCTTAATCTTGCCACAGATGTTTCAACTACCAAGCTAGGTATTACAGTCACTTAAGGAGGTTTTATATGAATTTTTCCTTATAACTATATGCCTGAGGCTTTGGAAAAGAAGTACCTATCTATAACTCTGAAAAGAATGAAGTCATTGTTATTTGCTTAAATGCACTTCACTATATATTCTTTATAGGAAGGATGGATTTTGTCTCTTTTTTCTTATATAGTCAAGCCATTTAGGTTTGAAGTCATCATGGCAGGAGGAAATGCTTACAAGTCAGTAAATAAGACAGAAAGCTAAACCAACAGAAAACAGCTCATTTGATGAGTAAGATGAATGATTACTAAAATTACATTCATTAAAAGTGATAACTTTTAAAAAATTCATATATCTTTAAAAACAAATTGAATCAAAATATAAATTCACCGTTCAAATACAATTTACTTACTGAAGCACAGGCCAAAATTCCAAAAAATCCAACCTTCTGTACTAGATTTTGAACTGCCAGTTTAGCCCGGGAGGCGAAATCCTGTATAAAAGGAGGATATAAAAACATTAATGATCCCCTCAGTTGCCTATTTTATACACAGTATCAATAATGTATATGTGTCAATCCCAAACTCCCAATTCCTCCAAAAGAAGGTTATATATGCATATGTATGGTTGATTCATTTTCCTGAGCAGTAGAACCTAACACAACTGTGTAATTTACTCCAATAAAAATTAACTAAAAAAAAATTAATGAAAAGTAGAAGGAAGAAGGAAAGATGGCTCTTTACAGTTTATAATATTAAATGTCTAATAATCTGAAAGCAGTGATTCATTTAATAAGATGATATTAAAAAAAAATTACAGCAGGTTACACTGAAAAACATGTGAATAAAATCTTGATAAAATATTAACTACACAACCTTAAAGATAAACTTATAATACATTTCAAGAATAAGCCAAAACACTGTTACTGCATTTTTTTGGTTCTCTTTGGATTATCTTAGAGATGAACAAAATGTTATAAACCAGCCATAAACCAACCCATTTTTTGGGAAATGTTAGTTTACTACTTACCTCTTTCTCGTTCCTTTAATAATTCACAAGACTTACTCCCTGATTAATATCAGGGTAGGAAATAAAAGAATTTTCCAAGACAGAAAATGAAGACACCCCTACTGATCACTAGCCAGAAGATGGAAAAAAAGTTATGTGGCCGTAACTTCGCATTCATTACCCCCAAAACAAATAACGTCCTACACTGCAAAGTTTGTGCTAGAAATAAAAATGGTTTTCACAAACATTTTACTGAAAAGGCTCAAGCCTTTCAGTAATCCTGGGATGCAAGTAGAGCAGATTCTTCAGACTCTAAAATCAGTGCTCTTTTTATTTCACCATGTCATCTCCCAGACTGAAACATACATTTGGCTGGCTAGTTTATTCCACACTCTTCTTCTAGCATGTGCATGCTAAAATTATATTTATTTATTTTTCTCAATAATCTTATAGAATATTCATAACATAAATGATAGAATAGGATAGGAATAGGGTTTAAAGCATTTGTGGATTCCAACTTAAAAAAACAAACACACCAAAACCACTTTAACCCAAAATATTATGTTGAACAGTTCTATCAAATGACTACAACAGTGAATACTGAAATTAAAAAAAAAAAAAGGAAGACCATCCTCCTACTTACTTATTGAGGGTGGTGAGAAAGTCAAAGCAATTAAAGCAATAATATATATTTTTAAAGATGTTAGCAATACATACAAATACTTTCAAGTTCAAACATACAGGCTCTCAAAGTTAATCATTAAATTCTACAATGCAATTTTGTAATTTTACAACTTATTTTCAAACACAGAATTTTTCTTTCCAGATTAGGCTTACTATTTCAGCAAATAAATTGTTTCAGATTTAATATTTTTAAACAACTGAATTACCACAGCAAAAAGTTCTTTGCATTTCTTAAAAAATTTCTAACTGAAGGTTTAATTTTTTCTTAAATTAACATTTATTGCATTAAGTGTGAAATAATGATTTTATTGATTTAAAAACTGTTGAGGGACATAAATTACTAAATTTGTAATTCATAAAAGCACTAAACTGGCCATAATTAATAGTAATGTTTTGAGTTTTAAATACACCAAACAATACTATTAGATTATAAATTAGTTATAAAATTTTAATTACTATAGCCCAAGTGTTAAAAATATAAATTCAGGAAAATGTCTTTCTTTACAACTCTTGATATCGTCATAGCAAATCTACTTTAGTGAAAGATGGTATTCACCTGTGAAGAAAGAGTAAAATAAAGAAAACAAAAACTACACAAATTTTATTTTAAAAACCACAAAAGTTTTTATAAACCTATCTTCCAAGTCAGATTAATATAGGAACATTTTTCTACCACAGAATTTATGCAATCCTCAATATACAAAGTTACAAAAAACTCATTTTTTTGCATAAAATGGTGTAGACAAGATCAACAAAGCACTGAATTGGAAAGGTCTGCTGTCCCATCTCCCTTTATGTTAATTTCAAGGCTTTAGAATTTTGCATTTATTTAAAGCAAGTGACTATGATAGTGCCATTATTTTAAACTTATGTTATTTTTCTACTATAGAGATACACATACATACACTTAAGTCAGAAAACAGGTATGATTATATTAGTTGGTTACATAGAGGAGAAAATATTTAACATTATGCAGATCAGCTAACACACAAAATAATACAAATATTGAAGCCTTCATAAGTTCGAGTAATCATGTTTTAAAAAACATCCTGAAAAAAAAAAATCCTGAAAGTAAGGAGCTATTTTATCCCTTGACAGCATCTCTTTACTCAACAGAAATTAGACAAAAACAAAGGAAAATAGACTCCCTGTCCTTTTGGATGCCCGGGAGCGCATTATCAGTTACCCATAAGAGCACTTTAAGAATCTTTATTTGAAGGAAAAGGGTCACTCTGCCCAAATCAGTGAAATAGAAAGCTCCCTTTACTCTCTTTCTTCTTTTTCAAATTAACTTTTAGCTGGCATGTCTCACAATGAAAATAAGTTAAGTGCCTTTTTAACAGGGAGCTTTACTTTTTAAAAAGTCTGAAAGTCATCTACTGAAAACAGATTTCATAAATCTTATTATGTGTCACACACACACACACACACACACATACACACAGAGAGAATGACCATGCTACTTTCAGTTCCTATTAATTTATTTTCCACGTCTTTCACAATATTCTCGGAATTAAAATTATATTTATATATTAAATAACCCATAAAAATTTATTTCAATTAAACCAATAAGTCTGCACAGTTACTTTCATTACAAGAAACCAACAGCAGGAGCATACAGCTCGAGGCAGAATTTTGTTTTTCCTTGCCAGAGTAGTGAAAACAATCTCAAGGAAGCATTATACTAGTATCCGTACCAAATCTGAAATATTTTACAATGGTAAATTAACTCATGTTTAGATTTCATAAACATAACTATATTTTGTTGCTTTTATTTTAAACTTATTTCACTTTTAAAGTCATATTCAAAACTTACTGGTATGGCTTTGAAGGCTTTGTTAACACATTTATTAAAAACATTTTAAAACTGTCTAAAATGTCCTACACGTTAAATGTGGTTTTATGCTTCTGTTTGCTGCTCTGCAGTTTTAGAAGTTTTTATTTTTAAACAACTTCAATACTTTATTATTTGCATAATCTGATAGCTTTCTAATGATGTAAAAGTAACATTTTCTACACATTAAAATATTTCTATTTGTGTTCTCTTGTAAAGAGAGAGAAATGTACTGTAGATAAAATATTAGAATATGAACCCAACTGACACACACACACTCAGCAAAAAAACCCTCTTTCACTAACGTTTAAAAGAACAATTTCAAACAAAATTTGCTATTTGCTTTAGGCCATCAGATAAAATAAACTAGACAAGAAAAAAATGTGTACCATAATAAACAACAATCATTTAAAGGAAAAGTTTAACAAATCAATATGTTAGGTTTTCAACATTAAAGTTAAATATCAAAGGAAATTAATACTTCATTTTAATCTTTTTTCTTGTGTTTGTGGGAACAGTGTAGCAAGTTCAATTTGATTACTTCCTCAACTGTCTTTCTTCATAAAAAAAAAAAAACCTGTACAACTAAAACCAAATTCCTTTTAATAGTTTCATTTCTCTGGATTCACATTTCACAACATTTATGTATTTCACAATTTTAGTGCCCAAGAGCTCAGTTTCATCCTCTAGCTCTACCTAAATAAGTATTATGCATTCACAGTTAGCAATCATAGATCACTTTCTACTTTTTAGAAGTAAATAAACAAAATACAAGTAAATAAAATTATCTTTCCCACTCTCACTGACAGATTATCATGCTTCTAAAAGTAAGAACGAGAGACACTAGGAACATTTTCCCACTGATTACAGAAGACAAGACAAAGAGAAGTTACAATAAATACTTAACTACTGAGATTTCTAGGATTAATAAAGAAAAGCAGACAATGCTTTCCAGTATGAATATTTCTGTACTACTTTTGTTTCATAATTTTTTCTAAGAAATATTTATGATGAAGATAAGAGAAATTTATATAGCTAATTATAATTAGATTGCAAAATACTAACTTTTGAAGAGGAAGACTTAGATTTAAATATTTGCAATAATATTTATCTTCAAGTGGTAACAGTAAACCTTTTCACTCTCATGATAAGGGATCACATTAAATTCTAAGATTTCCTTAAAAGCAACAGAAAATCCCTAACATGTTAAATGAATGCAATATTACTAGAGATAAATATGTATTTGGTTAACAGCTTATGTTAGTTTGAGCTGATCTATCACCATCAATGTAAGGTAACTGGTCAGCAGTTTTATAAATCAATGGCTTTTTAATATATTATATGTTAAAACTTCTGCTGAGTTAATGCTCTTCTTGGGTGTGACACTGAATTGGCTCCACAGTTCATATTAAAATTCACAGAGCAACTGCTTATTGTCTAATAATTTCTTGTTATAAGAGGAATTTGTGTTAAAATAAACTGCATTTGTGAAGTTCTTTTGGCATCTAAAAATAACTTGCTAATTTCTGTGTTCTATTCAAATATATTGTATCATGTTATTATTCTGTATTAACCAGAAATGGAGTTAAGACAGTAATAATGACTTAATATTGAAAGCTGTTTCAGCATCATGGACAATCATTCTGAAATATTAACTTGTTAAGATACTAATAACCCATGTAATTAAGTATTTTCTACAATGAAATAATATTACATGTGGTAAACAACATAATTAATGGGTATAATTATCATTTTCACAAAAATTAGAATGAAACACAACTCATAATTTTAGAATCTTTCTCCTCTTAAAAACAGAATAAAATGCTTGGTAACTGCAATTTCCTGTTATCAGGACTCTTCCTGAGCTCTTTCACATACAGATATGAATCATTAATTTATTAAATGCAAAGTGAACATTTCATTTCAGTGTTGACACCCTCAACAATATTATTAATGTAACTGATATG